TTTTAGTAGAGATGAGGTCTCACTCTCGCTCAGGCTGGTCTTGAATTCCTTACCTCAAGTGATCTCCTTGCCTTGGCCTCTCAGAGTGCTAGGATTACAGGCGTGAGCCACTGCACCAGGCCAGGATAGAGTGTATCTTTTTGGCTCTTGCTGGCTACTATGGCTCCACTTTCTTAACATTGTATTTAAAAAGATAACGGCAGCCTTGAACAAAAGTTAATCCATATCCAGTACTCAAATAGCCTTGGTCAGGGAGGAGATCACTAAGGGTAAGGAGGACACTTGATTAATGAAAGTTTCCTTACTAATGGCACAAGAGATGGGTTCAACATGCAGTTACATCTGGAAGAGCTGAATTCAATCAAACTAATGTAAAGGAGTGGAGCAGCCACCGCGTTCTCTGTGAATAACGAGGACCTTATTAGTCATCTGTAAAGAGACAGCTACTTCCTGACTTCAAGTCTCATCCCAGTGACACTGTAACCTTGGGGAGGCAGACATGCTGAGGTCCTCCCTGGTATCTAGGACATGGTCTAGGTTGCAGCGAATATATATTCATTCTAAAGTAACATGACTCATGACCTTACTTTTGAGAGCATAAAGCCTCTGTTCAGATGAGTTGGGTATTTCCTGTGTTAAAAGACATCTTGCAAAGAAAACACTGACCTCAAGTAATAAGTTTCCGGGCATGGACTCACCTCCAGAGGGACATGAGTATAAAATAGGAATTCTATTTGTTCTAAGCTGTTCTTTGTTGTTGGGGCTTTCCTGTGCCACGTAGGATGTTTACTAGCATCTTTGACCTCTATCCTCTATTCACTAGCCAATAGCACCTCTCCAGTTTTGACAAGCAAAAATTTCTCCAGACATTCCCCCAAAATCATCCGGTTGAGAATTACTCTTTTAACTGAAGCACCAAGATATTATCAAAAAACTGAACAACCCCATTCCCCCTCAAAAAACTTCACTAAAGTAGTTCTGAGATTGACTTCCTTTAGACATTTCAGAGGATTTAGAAAAAAGCAGGTAGATAACTGTAGATACTCATAGTTATTTAGTTATAAAAGATCAAGTGAGAATTATTGAGGATATCTTTGGAGACTGCTGCCGGTGTGCTGTGATTCTTACTGCAGGCGCCTGCCTGCCTTTTACCTCAAGCCACGTGAAAAGGGCCTTTGGTGAAACTACTCAGAGTGCTCGAGTTGTGTCCCTTGCAGTTAGAGGGGCACCACAGACCTGTGTTTGACTCTTAGGGCTGGCGGCAGTTTTGGCAGCAGAGCAGAGGAATGTCGAATCTGCACTAGGATTGGCCAGTACTCCCAAGTTTGTTTGGGCAAGGAGTATGTGAGAGTGTCCTGTGGACCAGGTGCGAGCCACACAGAGCTGCCACTGGTCTAACATAGCAGAGCCATCAGAAAAAACTTCCCTTTACACCTGTTGGAAAATAGTCACACTAGTAATGATTTAGTTTGGACAAAACACTTTACTGCCACCTGCTGGAAAACCGTCAAAATAAATGTACAAATGTACAAAGAGGACGGTGTGACTAGCATCCCCTAAGGAATGGAGTGCATGGCCTTGTACAACAATAAGGCACAGACTGCAGATGGGCCAGTGTGAGAGCTGTCTTAGATGCCCTCTGCCAGGGCTCCTGCAGAGATGAACAGGCTTCAACAGACAAGCAGCTGGAGTGGGTCACCAGATTCCTGGGGACTGAACCAGCAAGTCAGGAACTGCTAGAATAGACTGCTTTTGCTTAGACCAAGGGAATTATGGGTGAGAAACCACCAGAGAAGGGGGATGGTGGTCGTCTCTGACGTAACCATCTATGAGGAAAAAAGTCAGTTTTAAACATCTGCCAAGCCCAGGGAATCCTAAACCATCACATGGAAGTAAAGTTAAGAACTTTTCTGCTCCTTTTCCCCCCTTTCCCTCCCTTTGACTCTGGTTAGTAAACTGGGCAAGAAGGAGGAAGACTCGGCAGGGTTAGAGGTGACTATGTTCCCCCTCTTCAGGGCAAGCAGTGAGACAGCTGTTCCCAGGTGGAGAAGAGGGAAAAGTTTAGCTGTTCATGACTCAATGACCATAGGACTGTCTATTCCTAAGGGGCCCACAGAACCCCTTGGAGCTCATGGAATCTGCCTTAGTTTTTGATCAGGTGCATGACAGAGCTACTCCCACTGCAAAGGTTGAAAGGGATGGCGAAAGATAAAGTTTTTCTTTTTAAAATTATGCCCCATGTGCCCTCCATGTTGAACATACTGGCTTCATATTATCAAGTAGGATCTAGAAAATATATCTTCCAAGGACATGTTCTTGAGTTTCTCTGGGGGAAGATGGTCACTGAGTCAACTCATTTATTTTTTGAGAGCCCATACTTTGGGAGCAGGGCACAAAAGTGCAAGGAGTGCCTGCCCGCTGGGAGCTTACATGGTGGGTTCGTACTTGGAGCAAGTTCCTAGTACAGTCGGTTATGTCAACAAGAGCCTGTGCTTCATAGGTGGGGCATGTTCAGGACAGTTTTTACTATCTGAGGATTTACTCTTAACGATTTGTACTCACTGAAGACTAAGTTCTTGAAGTAATCATATTTCCCCTGTTCTCCAAGCACGGAATCACAGGTAAAGCGTCCATTTAAGATGTTTAAAGAGAGATGCAAGGCTAAATGCACAGGCTGCATCTTGGTTGGGCTGCTATGAAACCAGGCCTTTTCTGATCCTCATTTTGGCAGATTTGGAAACTTATATTTCACTTCACTCAAGTTTAATCATGCTCTGGGAAATTAATTCAGATAAACCAATTTCATAATTCAACCTAGTGAACAGAAGCTGATTTATAAACCATGATGTGAAGTTTTTAATTGACAAAGATTGTACAGCTAGTCTAAGTAGTCCCAGTCATGTGCCTTGAACAATTGCTTCTTACTGGGTGTGCAGATTTATTTGAGACCCCTTGAGTGACAGAAAGGCTATTTGTTGAGTTTGGAATTAGAGCATGGGCTTTTGTATATTCTTAAAGGAAATACAGAATTTAAGTTTGCTAGGATATAAACTCCACGAAGGCAGAGACCTTATTTGCTGATGTATCCTAAGAGACTAGAACATAGTAAGCACCCAATAAGTATCTTTTGAATGAGTGACTGAATCTGAATCAAAATTTTTTTTTTTTTTGAGACAGAGTCTCACTCTGTTGCCCTGGCTAGAGTGCCGTGGCGTCAGCCTAGCTCACAGCAACCTCAAACTCCTGGGCTCAGGCAATCCTATTGCCTCAGCCTGCCGAGTAGCTGGGACTACAGGCATGTGCCACCATGCCTGGCTAATTTTTTCTATCTATATATATATTTTTAGTTGTCCAGATCATTTCTTTCTATTTTTTAGTAGAGACGGGGTCTTGCTCTTGGTCAGGCTGGTCTGGAACTCATGACCTTGAGCGATCCACTCGCCTCGGCCTCCTGGAGTGCTAGGATTACAGGCGTGAGCCACTGCGCCTGGCCTCAATGAAGATTTTTAACTGCCCTGATAATGAGTATTGGTCCCGGTCACTAGAATCAGTCACCTCTCTCCTGGAGAGAGTGGGAGTTGAGCCCCACAAGACATTCTTATTCAGATTCTGCGGGTTTTAGACTCTTTGTGGACCCCGCCCTTCTGTTATGACAGCATCAACCGGGCATGTGATGCGTAGATTGCAGATGATTTATTTTAGTTTGATGAAATTTGGGAGCCCTTTGGCCTTTGCAACACATTTACAGATCATCTCATAGGGTGACTTTTTATTTATTTTTTTAACCTTGTCCCAAGTTCTACGAGGGTTCTTGTTTTACATTTTGAGGGTTATTGACTTCCAGCTCAGGCAGGTAGGGGACAGATGAATTGCGGTGGTCCATATTTTTACAGACAGTCAGAGTTCTTTATGGAGGTGTTCATCTACCCGCAGTGAAGGAGTCCAAAGGCAGAACACTGCATTTTACTCAACGGAAGATCTCAAAGCCCTTAACAGACTAAAGCAGAGACGAGATTGGCCGAATATTCATACCTTTGTGAGCGCAAGGGAGCTGCAGGGTTGGTCTGGGTGGCTATGCGAGCGCGTACAGACTCGTAGGTTCAAAGAGCTCCTCATTCTTACTGCCTCCTTTCAGCTCCGCCTCCGCAGCTCCAGTTTCTTTTAGTATATGAAGCTCCGGGTGAGCCTGCAGCCTATCGACTTTCACATTCCCAGAGCCTTTGGGCACCGAAGCATCAGTGTTCTCTCTGGAGCCTAGGTCAGGTCTTTAGGTGAAGGGGGAAGCGTGGGGTGGGGGCCGGGCTCAGGTGCAGTCCAGAAGTCCCAGATGTGAGTCACCGCCTAGGCCTGTCCCAGCTGTTTTCTTTTCTTTTTTTTCTTTCTCCCTCCCCCGCCCCCTCCCCAGCTGTTTTCTGTTGAGGTCTCCGTGTTCCTCACCTGGATATGGGTACCCCAGGTCTCCTTGTAGGAGTGGCAAGGTCCCCTCTGCTGAGACCAGAAGCGACCTGAATTTTCCGGATTTTCCTTTCGTCCCGCCCACGTCTCATCCCCAGTGTCTTTCATCTTCCCAACCTCCCCAAACCGAGGAACCCCAGACACCTCCCTCGGACCCGCGCCTGGCTTCTCGCACCCAACTCAGGAGCCCAAATTTGGGGTGGGAGGAGGCAGAACGGCTCTCCAGCGGGCACATTCCAGGGCTGCAGCCGCAGGATGCCGGGGACCCTGGCCGCCCCTCCCCCCGCTGCGGCCCGCCCCGCCCCCTCCCACGCACGTCACGTCCGGCCCGGCCCCCGCCCGCCGCCCGCCCTGCTCCCTCCGCCCTCCGCCCTCCACTCTCCTCCCGCTCGCCGTTAGGGAGGCTCTGCGCCTCAGCCGCTGTCTCTGTCGCCGCTCCCGCCCTCTCCTCCGCGTCTCCGCCGTCGCCACCGCCGGGGGGATCCGAGGGTCGCTTACCGGGCTGGCACCGCGCCACATCTGTCGCTTCAGCCTCCCGCCACCGGCCGCCCCAGGAAGAGGCTCCCCGGCCGCGGAGCCATTTGGGGCCTCACCTTTCGCCCTCTTGCCGTCGCCGCGGGTTCTGGAGAAGCGGCCGCGGCCGGGGAACGGGGCTTCGCGGTTCCAACGGTAGGTGAACGGGCGGGTACCCCGATCCGCGCATGCGCGGGCCTCCAGTCGCCACGGCCCTCCCCCCCAGCCGCTGCTGCCCCGCAGCGTCCCACGCGCGCAGCGTTTCGGGGTGCGGGGGACCCGGGGCAGTGCGCAGTAGATGGGACATTCTGTAGAGAGGCCCCCTTTCTGCTGCAGAAAGAGGGTGATGAAGCCGTGCCCCTGGCTGCCTGGGGGTGTGGCAGTCTTCGATTTGCAGCCGCTGCGGTGCGCGTGAGCGGGTGTGCCTCCCTCACCTCCCAGCTCTCCCAAAGTAGATGACACCACACGGCGCGTTTGTTTGCTAACCTCCCCTGCCCGCTGGTCCTGCGCCGCCTTCCCACCCACTTCCTTTATGTTGGGCAGTGAAGTTGATGTAGGAAAAAAGGGAGTGTGGCTTAGCCTGATCTCAGCTGCGCCCCTTTTTAAGGTCACGTGAGACGAGTGGTTGCTGACTTCCTTAAATCGCTCTGCGAATATACCCAAAATTGGGCTGTTGGTGCACTGGGGCCTTGCACTCTACTTGGGCCAGACGAGAGGGGGCACTTTATACGGCATTAAGTTTCAGATGGGGTGCCTCATTTCCTAGATAAGGTTATAGAAAATTGAATCGGTTGCCTCACTTGCCCAGTGGGAAATTCTTAAGCTCTTTTTTGTTTGTAATCAATTAAAACCAAACAGACCTGTAGAAAGACAGTGCATTATTTCATTCAAGTCCCCATCATGCCGTCTAATCAGTGAGAAAAGTTAGGCATTTACCTTACTTTCAAGGAGCTGATGATCTAAAAATGGCAGCCGCAACAACAGTAATGCAGACTATAAACCTAAAATAAGTGGGGTGGACTTGCTTATAGAGGCAGACATTAAAGGATGGTTTTGAATTATTGGTCTTTCTGTGGCTGGGTTAATGTGGGGCTATTTTAGCTCTCTGGTAACCTAGAAATACTTGTTGGCCCGGGTTTCTCACAGGTACTGTGCACTTACTCGGTACTTGTTGAATGGAATGGAATGAACTGGTCATTTTTTGTGTATCTTTCGGGAGCCCTATCTTTGTTAATCTGTGCTTCGTTTAAAATTGGGGTAGTATTTTCTGCAATTTAATTTCGTAACCAGTTAGGCATCTGTGTGACACAGCT